AACTGTTTTCAACATTGATAATAATCAGAAATGTTTCTTGAGCAGCAAAGCAGCATATTAGAATGATTTCTGAAGATCATGTGACACTGAAGACTGGAGTAATGATGCTGAAAATACAGCTGCGCATCACAGAAATAAATTACAGTTTAACAGATATTCACAAAGTAAACAGTTGTTTTAAATCATAATAATATTTCACTATTTTTACAGTATTTCTGATCAAATAAATGCAGCCGTGCTGAGCAGAAGAGACTTCTTTCTGAAAGGTTAACAATCTATGAGGGGCAGGAGGTTCAGAGTGAGGTCCTCGTCCTCAGGGTTTCTCTCTCTCTCAGTACCTGCTCATTAGAGTCGCTCTAAAGCTCCGCCGGCTCTCCAGCGCTCATGTGAATCTGTGTGACCGTGTGCAGGATAATAATCCTATTATATGCAGCTGCATCACATGGTTTCTCACAGACCCCGTGGGCTTCAGCCGACCGTAATCCAGCGCGGACCGAGCGGAGAGACTCGAGTCTCCAGCATCATAATCCTTCAGGATACAGCGCTGGCATTTCAGGAATGGAGACGGAGCATGTGACCCGCTCCAAAACCCGACATCTGCAGCGCAGCTACATGATGACTGCGGCTGGGAACTAATGCAATGCGAAATGATCAATCAGACGGAACAAGACGACATACTAAAACCTGCAACACTGAATTGAAACATGACTAACATGCAGGATAAAACTACATGTGACTCTGGAGGAACAACAGTTTTTTTCTGTAAATTTCATACAGTATGAAATATTCCACACAGTTCAGAAAGTCGACTGTGTCACACAACATCACACCTGCATGTCTGCACTAATGCTGGAAAATGCAGACGTTTGAGAATGGTTTTGTAAGCCTGTAGTTTAAATTTACAACAAAATATCAGAGGTACTATTTCAAATAAGTAATGCAAGTTACTTTTTTAAATTTTTTTATTGATTGACAGCTCTCCTGTCCCCATGTTGAGTGAAATCAGATGTTACTGTAGTTCTAAAATAAATATGAATATGCATTAATTCATCTCACTCACAAAAAAACAACAACACAGATTCAGTATTCCTCAAAATGAATAAAAATAATGCAACTCGGAATATGACGCAAACCTGCAATAATTAAATGTTAAACAACACAAATATGCTTTATGTATTTAATCCCATTCTATTAACCAATGTCTTTGCTTCTGACCTTCGATGATCCAGTTCAACCATACTAATCAGCACAAATTACTCTAGACAAACATTTGTGTGTCTTTTTTTATTGCTGAAGTGTTTTGAAATTTGGATGTAAATTTACTTTCCCTTCAACCTGATGCTTATTCATTTCACTTTTGGTGTGAAAAGGGTTTTATATTTGCCAAAAATATAACTTTTTTATTTTAAAAACAAACAAGCAAACCCTGTCCAGATTTAAAAAGTAACGCAAAAGTAACGCAACGCATTACTTTCCATAAAAAGTAACTAAGTAACGTAATTAGTTACTTTTTTATGGAGTAACGCAATATTGTAATGCATTACTTTTAAAAGTAACTTTCCCCAACACTGTTAATACCTGAAAACTTTCAGCACCTTTTTGCACATATTTTTGTGGCCTTTGAGAATAAGTTTTTCGGGCTGAATCTAGACGAGTGCGGATCTCTTTCATCTTTGTATCAACATTAATAATAGGAAATGTTTTTTAAGCATCAAAATGGGGGAGGGAATCCAGAAAATTCAGCTTTGCCATCACAGTAATAATTTACATTTCTAAACTTTTGAACTGTAGTGTATATGCTGGTGCACTCCTCGTTAATTCATCTATGATCGCTTCTGACAGATAACAGTCGAGGACTATGAGCAAGCAGCAAAAACCCTGCTGACAGCACTCTTCATCAGAGAAAAATATTCTCGGCTGGCATATCACTGCTTTCCCAGGACAACAGCCAAGTTTCTAAGGAGTGCCAATAATGAGAAATGGAGTGAGGAGGAAGAAGTGCTGCCAGGTATGTCATGATCGGCAACAGTGCATGCAGCAATAATGCACAATTACCTGTTCAAAGACCTATAACGATAACAGCTATGAGATGAAATAAGTGTTAAATTACTGCCTCAAATCCTTAATATTCTGTCTCAAAGACTGTAGATTGTTTATTAAGTTTGGGTTGTTTGTTAAAGGGGTGGTTCAGTGTTTTTTTTCTAGGCTTGATTGTGTTTATGGGGTGCAGTCTAACATGTGTTCATGCTTAGTTTTAAAAAAAACGCATTATTTTTCACATAGTTTACCTTTATTCTTCACCGCTCTGTCCCTTCTCTGATAAACACGCTGATCATTTCCTGCTTTTATGAAGCCCCTCCTTTAGAAATACGCGATGGACTCTGATTGGTTAGCTAGTCCAGTGTGTTGTGATTGGCTAAACCGCCTCTGGAGCACGTCTAAGCGGGGTTTATCAGGGTTTGTGACGTCACGAACCCGGGAAGTAACTCGTTGTAGTCCCTACGAGCCGTTTTTGTAGGAATTAAACTGCCATAATTTTAAAAGACAATATATCCGTTTGCATTGAACTTTCAACTTCGTAACTTTGCAGATATTGTTTATGCTCAAACAGCAACATTACACACAAACTAGCGTTAAAAAAGTGAAATCGCAATCAACCACCTCTTTAAAATTTATACTATAAACAGCCAGTCATGTTTCTATTTATGGCAGGACAGCTCTTTATGCTTTATTTCCATGGCAATAGAAATCTGCCCTGTTCCAAGTGAGGGTCCCTACAGTATGGAAGACCTTCCACAGAATCTGAACTACTCCCTGAGGATGAAAGACGGAATCATATACGTCTATGATAATGAAGATGCCTTAAAACAGGATCAGCCACGGAGCTTGCCATATCCTGACTTGGAAACCTTTGCCATTGACATGAGCCACGTCCTTGCCATGATTGCAGACGGACCAACGTGAGTTTTGTTATGTTATACTTCTCCTCTGCAAAACCTCAAACCCTAACTTAAAGGAACAGTTCACCCAGAAATGAAAATTTGCTGAAAATGTACTCACACTCAGGCCATCCAAGATATAGATGAGTTTGTTTCTTCATCAGAACAGATTTGGAGAAATTTAGTATTACATCACTTGCTGACCAGTGGATCCTCTGCAGTGAATGGGTGCCGTCACAATGAGAGTCCAAACTGCTCATAAAAACACAATAATCCACACGACTCCAGTCCATCAGTTAACGACTTGTGAAGCCAAAGCTACATGTTTATAAAAACAAATCCATCATTAAGGCATTTTAACTTTAAACCATTGCTTCTGGCCAAAATTCAAACCACTGCTATAGTCCGTAATCTATGATATTGCTTTCATCTGTTCCGATAAAGAAACAAACTCATCTACATCTTGGATGGCCTGAGGGTGAGTACATTTTCAGCAAATTTTTATTATACAATGTCAAAACTGATAACACTGCATTCGCCTGTTGCTAAATAATAAACAGGATAGGTGATATTCAGCAAAAAAGGAAATACATTATTTAGACATTTTCTCTTTTATAGGAAGACCTATTGTCACAGAAGGCTTAACTTCCTGATGTCCAAGTTCCATCTACATGAAATGCTGAATGAGATGGCCGAGTTAAAGGAACTGAAAAGCGTTCCTCACAGAGACTTCTACAATGTCAGAAAGGTATTTATTTATTGGTATTTACACTAATGTTTACACTACCTCCTGCATAATGGTCCTTTTCTAAATATACATATTTGTGAATATTCAGGTTGATACGCACATTCACGCAGCTGCCTGCATGAACCAGAAGCATCTACTGAAGTTCATCAAGGACACATATAAGACCGAAGCAGACCGGGTGGTGCTGGAGAAAGGCGGAAAGAAGTTCACCCTCAAACAGGTGTTTGACAATCTGAAAATGGACCCATATGATCTCACAGTAGACTCATTGGATGTACACGCGGTACGTATTTCACATGACTTAATTTGTCTACATTTTCAAGCAGAATAGATCTGTGATTAAGAAATTGCACTATTGTTTGTTACAGGGCAGACAAACGTTTCATCGCTTTGATAAATTCAATTCCAAATACAACCCAGTAGGTGCTAGTGAGCTCAGAGAGATCTACATCAAAAGCGATAACTACATCAATGGAGAATATTTTGCACGTCTCATCAAGGTAAGACTGATCAACTCACGTGCTGATTTAGCAACTAATACATAAGCTAAAATAAACTATAGTTGGCAGAGTATCCAGATTATTTTTTTAAGCAGGAAACAAACAAATTGTTACTGTTCTGCACAGGAGGTTGCTCATGACCTTGAAGAGAGTAAATATCAGCATGCTGAACCCCGTCTCTCAATTTACGGCCGAGCCACTGAAGAGTGGGACAACCTGTCTAAATGGTTTATCAAGCAAAAGTTGCACTCCCCTAACATGAGATGGATCATACAGGTGCCCAGGATCTAGTAAGTCCTCCTCAAATGTAACTTAACATACCAATTTAAAATAAAAATTTGAAATTGTAATATAAAATAATATGAAATAAAATTTTTTTTTATATATATATATATATATATATATATAAAAAAAAATTTTATTTCATATTATTTTATATTACAATTTCAAATTTTTATCAAAATGCTTAATTCTTAAATATAACGAAAAAATGAAATAATGAAAAATATAAATGAATAAAATTACATTTCATTTATTTCAAAATAAATTCAAATTGTGTACTTTGTTTTTAGTGACATTTTCAGATCAAAGAAGATTGTTCCCAACTTCGCCAAGATACTAGAGAACATCTTCCTCCCACTGTTTCAGGCCACCATTAATCCTCAGAAACACAAAGAAACGCATGTCTTCCTGAAACATGTAAGTGCTTCATCACAGCTGGCAAGACCAGTCAGAGCAGATTCATGCCACATTAGAACATTTAGTAACCAACAGGGCAATTAACAGCTTTAATACAAAACAGTCATTTTACTAGGGGAACAAGCTTTCATACCAAGTCCCTTCTGAACAATTAAACGGTTCTCAGATGACTATGACTTCATGTACAATTGTAACGCACAATAAAATCAGAAAAACAAACAACAGAAAACATGGATTACGCCCAAATCAGTAATGTACTCAATGTGTGGTTGATGTCACACATGTTGATGTCTCTATATTTGAACAGCCCGGTCAGTCTTTATATAAACCACGGGCCTTAAGGAAATGAAGGGCAAATCGCGGCCGTGGATAGATTTCAGCAAAGCTTTGGATGTTTTTCTACAGGTGACAGGGTTTGACAGTGTGGATGATGAGTCCAAACACAGCGATCACATTTTCACCTATAAGAGTCCAAAACCTGAGGAGTGGACAATGGAGGAAAACCCACCGTACACTTACTACCTCTTCCACATGTATGCCAACATCATGGTCCTCAACAACCTTCGAAAGTAAGTCGCTATAAAGATCAAGCTGATTTCAGCATTCAAATCCATTGTCATCACATAACAAATTAATAAGCAAGCTATTCCCCTCAAATTTAGCCAAAAGCTTTATAAATGAATTTTTTTTTTTTTTTTTTAGGGAACGTGGTCTTAATACCTTCCAGTTCCGTCCTCACTGCGGTGAGGCAGGATCCATCACTCATCTGGTGTCAGCCTTCCTCACAGCTGACAACATCTCTCACGGACTCAACCTGAAGAAGGTCGGTCTCAAAGACGGACTGTCTGTGTACACATCAAACCACCAAACAACAGACAAGTCATGACAAACAGTATTAATGTAGTCTTTTCTTATTTTTTCTCGTACAATTTCTCAATACAGAGTCCTGTCCTGCAGTACCTGTATTATTTGACCCAGGTGCCCATTGCAATGTCTCCACTCAGCAATAACAGCCTGTTCCTGGAGTATTCCAAGAATCCCCTCAGGGAGTTCCTGCAAAAGGGCCTGTGTGTGTCTCTCTCCACAGATGACCCGTTACAGTTCCACTACACAAAGGTCAGGGAGAGCAGTTACTGGGAATGATGTGCATGGAATCAAACACTTCTGACACTGAATGAGTTCATTATTCATCTATTTTGAGTGCAGTCATTTAGAGCAGTCAGGTGATGTGATTTATGTTGTTTATGTACCTGCAGGAGGCCTTGATGGAGGAGTATGCCATTGCAGCACAGCTGTGGAAACTGAGCACGTGCGACGTGTGTGAGATCGCCAGAAATAGTGTGCTTCAGAGCGGTTTGTCTCATCAGGTACTCTCTCTGTCCTACCCGATTAAAGCAGGGGGTTTTAATCTTTTAAACTTGGGATGCCATATAGTTTTAATATCATATCGTGGGTTCAGATTTACAAATAGATTCAGCTCGTCTTTCGTTTCCAATAAATAAAAAAGGTGACATTGTGGAACATCCAATGGAAGTAAATGGGGGTGAATTTTAAGAAATGTGAGGCTTTTAAGTTAATAAAAGCAGTTACATTTATTCTTCTATTAAATCTTGTTTCTTACTTGATCTGTAAAATGAAGTCATTTTAGAGTGACCATTTAGAGTTTATGGTCATGGTAACAAAGTTGTAAAATGTAATATAACTTTACACAGAACAGATAAATCATGTTAACATGCATATTGTCTTGTGGCTATACAGTTGAAGCAGTGAGTATTTTAACATTTGTGATCCTGGACCACAAAACCAGTCATAAGGGTAAATTTGCTGAATAAATAAGCTTTCCATTGATGTATGGTTTGTTAGGATAGGACAATATTTGGCCGAGATACAACTATTTGAAAATCTGGAATCTGAGGGTGCAAAAAAATCTAAATGCTGTGAAAAGCGTATTTAAAGTGGGCCAAATGAAGTTCTTAGCAATGCATATTACTAATCAAAAATGAAGTTTTGATATATTTACAGTAGGAAATTTACAAAATATCTTCATGGAACATGATCTTTACTTAATATCCTAAAGATTTTGGCATGAAAGAAAAAAATCGATCATTTTGACCCATACAATGTTTTTTTGGCTATTGCTAAAAATATACCGAAGTGACTTAAGACCAGGGTCACATTTATGAATTGGTCCTATTCATATCTATTGTAAGTACCTCACTGAAGCCCAGATTTATTTTTTAATGAAGTCGAAATTTGAGTTTAACTTGTATTGAACCCAGAATATTTCCTAAGGAAAAATCTTCCAGTGCCAATACCATCCATACGCTAAAGCCCTTTCGTACACAAAAAAGCTGAATGGTTTTCTAGCTTAACCTGACATTTAAATTTCCCTTGCAGGAGAAGAAACACTTCCTGGGTGAGAATTATCTACAGGATGGACCAGAGGGAAATGACATCCGTAGGACAAATGTGGCGCAGATCCGTATGGCATATCGACACGAGACCTTGTGCAATGAGCTCAGCTTCCTAGTGGATGCGGTCAAGTCAGAAGCAGTGGCTGAAAAAGCCTCGTAGACATGGCAGGGTGACAGATAGGCTAGAACACGGGTCCATATGAGTTGACCAGACATCGATATAAAACCTAATCTTGCTACAGGTGATGCACTAAACAGCCATGGAAATGCATCATTCTGGTAGAAAGTCATGAAGCCATGTGTCTTGGTGCCTTATGATGGACATAACCTTTCCCATAGTGCCTTACAGGATGGATATATCCATTATATTTCTCAAATCTGTTTCTTTAAAAATGGGACGTTTTGATCAAATGTTCCTGTGTTTTGCATGGTTTCTGAAAATGATGTTTTGAGGGAGCATACATTTGTTACCTTTTCTAATGAGGAAGTCTTCGGGTTTGTGACTTAATGTGTTCTTTTGTTCAGATAAATGTTTTACGCAATAAAAGGTAGTGGCGCAGAGACTGGAAGAAAAATTTGCCTTGGTAAACTAGTTTGTTTGCAACCTGAGATTTTGGGCCTGTTATTCTGTCGGGTAACCTATGGGGTGGCGTTTTATCTTTTGTCACAAAATCTTGTGTACTTGAACTTGCACATTTTGTACACCAACAGAGATGGTTAAGCTGTTTGTTAAGGAATAATGGCTTTTGAAAACATGCCTGAGTGCTGAATATGTTCAGCAATATTTGAATATGGCTTTCAAAGTAAAATAAATAAAGAGGTGTCAAAAAGAGCCTTTCATGATGTGACTGTTAATATTCCAGGTAAGTAGAAAAATGATTCTTTATTTGCTCAACACTGAAGCCCAGTGGAAGTAGTGGGAACTGCTACAGCCTTCAAACAAGAACTAGCTAGAACAAAATATTCAATTTACTTTATTATTCGAGATTTACACAAGAATAGGGAACACCGAACATCCCAGTTCAGTCCATATTTAAAAGAACTCTCCTTTGAAAGAACACTCACAAAAGAAAACGGCAACTAGTGCCATTTTCTCCAATAAAACTACTACCATTCAGTCCCATCTCTATAAATCTGAGAATATTGCAAAAAAATGAACATTTTTAAAACTAGATTAGTAGATCTTGATAAACTAGATTAAATCTTAATAAACTGCCACACAAATTTAGACTTACATATACATTTGATCTATACATATCTTTATAATACAAGTGAATTCCCTAAGCCCACAGATTCACAGTCTCTCTCATACACACAAAAGTGCAGAATGAAAAGTCTGGGATTTCAAACCAGAAAAAAATATGAAAAAGTGACTAACCTCCACTGAAAACGTCAGTGATGCCCTATAAAATAAAGCTTTCATTTGCAACTAAAGAAAACAAGCAAATTAGAGATTCTCAAATGTTAATCCATCCTAATTACGTTCCATAATGAATGTTATATGAGAGTCATGCCCTATAATTAACAATTGATCCAACTTACACATAGATAAGGAGTTCATGTCAAACAGATCACTATAGTTATTCCGTTAAACCTAAGATTATAAATGCAAATCAACTGTACAGTTAATGTTACTGAATCATGTGTGACTGAATTACAGCAACAATACTATTAAACTGTTGCACATGCTGATACTGTGACGCTTATTCAGGTATTACAAGGCCTTTACGGAACAAATGCAATTAAGTGCAATTACTTCACAAACAAGATAAAACGGCAAGTGCAGAGAGGAAATGAATTTTACAGCTACATCTTGTCTAGCATTTACCTACATACAGTTCACAGTCACAAGTCTATGGTTTGGTCATGTCAGGTGTTATAATATGATGCATTAACCTAAAAATAGTTTATTAAAGTCAAAAACTCAGCAGTTATTGCCTCCAGTGAGTGACACTATATAGTGCAACAAATACCCACAGTCACCCTATGAAATAACTGTTTAAAGAAGGTCATCTGCTATGGGGAGACAGTGAGTATGACAGTGGCACAGTGCTTCATTTTAAGGTCTGTGTGGGTGCCCGGCTTCATCCGCTAGATTGAGAATGTACCCAGCTATATCTTCCTCCGTGGGAGCATCTGACATGACCCATGATTCATTAGCGGCAGTCACCTGAATCCGGCAGACGGGGCAGTTTCGGCTCTGACCGCTCCTATATGAGGCACAGACACACTCATGGCTGATTAAAATGATTTATGGATTTTGTCATTTCTTTACGGTCATAATGTTGATCCAAACCTGTTTGACATTTTTCTTTATACTTTCAGTAGGTTTAATTAAGGAAAGGAATCTTGAGATACATGAGTTATATTGAGATTTTATGGCTTTGTTCTGTACGGACCTATGGTATTCATTCTATTTGTGTTGGTCTTAAAAAGTTTAACATTTGGTTTGAAAAAACTCTGCAAACCTTGGATTCAGTTCACAAATTTGAAAACTGAACTGGTCACAGTTCTGACCAAAACATTATTCGGATTTTCTGCTTTTGTGTTCCATGGAAGAAAGTAAGTTTGGAACAATATGAGAGTAAATGATGACAGATTTAATTATTTAGTTAAACTGATCCATTTAAGAGACAGTCCACCAAAAATGGAAAATTCTCTCATTATTTACTCATCCTCATGTTGTTTGAAATCTGTATGACTGTCTTTCTTCTGATGAACACAAAGGAAGATATTTTGAAGAATGTTGGTATCCAAAGGTTGGTGAACAATTTTGGTTCCCATTGACTTCCATTGTATTTTTTGTCTATAAAATGAAAGTCAATGGGAACCAACATCCCTTAAAATAGCTTTTTTTGTGTTTCACAGAAGAAAGTAAGTCATACAGGTTTGGTACAACATGAGGGTGAGTAAATTAAATGATGACAGAATTTTCATTATTTGGCTGATCATGTAATCCATTAATAAATCATGATAATGAATCACAGATTCTTACCACTTGTCAATGCACTTCTGACAGAAGCTGTGTGCACAGGGCAGAATAAGGTCTGCTTTCCCATCCATGCAGATACAGCATTCTTCCTCATCAGTCAACTGTTTCACCCTGTTACAGAGCAAATTTTGCTTGGTGAGACAATGAGTCATCTATTATGCATCATTACATCAGGTGCAGATTTGGTAAACAGAACAAATGCAGTCTGTAAAATACCTGCCCATCCACATGCTGGCCTGGCAGGTGTCTTCTGATGACAGCGGTCCAGAGGATCCCTCTGCTGCAGCCTCTGAACAAAATACTTCAGCTGCCTGACTGGTGATGTCTTTGTAGAGGTGGATAAACTGGTACAGATTCATAATACGGGAGGCCTCCACCATTCCATCCTCCTTGTTAATCTACAAGCACACAGAGAGAGCAGTAACAATTGCCATCCCACACTAGACAAACATCAATCACACATTTCAAATTTGCAGTACAGAGCAAATGACTATATTATTCAGATTGAAAATCATTTTAATATATTCCACCTATAAATTCAGAGGTCTGTACATTAATCTCACCTTGGTGCACACTATTCTCACAGAAACCTTCCATAACGCTGTTGCATCAGATCCCGGCTGTACTTCAAACAAAAGATGTTTATTTTGTCCAGAGGCTAGTTTAGCAGTTCTGTGTATAAAAAAAATTAAATCATATTACCTATCACATCACATCAGACTGGATAATGTGTATGTCTTCATATTAAACTCCAAACTTAAAAATAAGCAGGAAATATAGTGAGCTCATTCTTACTTTTGTACCTACATAAATACAGTAATACATTATATATATATATATATATATGTGTATTTTTTATTATTTTTTTTCTTTAAAAATAAAATTTACAAATTCTTATTATTAAAAAAAGTTTAATATTATTGTTTCATTAATATTATTTAATTAACATAAAACCATTGATTTAGGGTTTTAGAGTTTATTAAATTGCGTTGTCATTTTGACAAGTTGTAAAATTCAGAATAACTTTACACAGAACAGGTTAATAAGAGATTTGTTTCACACCAAAATCATTATAACAAACATACTGTTTACATCTTGTGGCTATACAATTGAAACTGTAAGTAATTTAACAATTATGAATTGGCCATTGCACAATCCCATTGTAAGTGCCTTGCTGTAACCCAGATTGTTTCTTTCTTTAATGATGTAATAAAGTCCTAATATTTCCTACAGAAAAATGTTCCAGTAATAATTTTAAACAGCTTTCAATGATACATTTACCATCCAAAGCTTATGAACATTTTACTAACATAAGCTCACATTTAGATTTCCCTTGCAGGAAAAGAAACACTTTATGGGTAAGCATTATATAAAAGAAAGAAAGAGGGAAATTGCATTATACATTTATTTTTTATATATATATTATTTAATATTATAATATTTATATCATGAGAACTCTGAACATTTTAGCATGGTAATGTGGATCTGCTACGCTGCTGTAGCATATATAATAACTTGCAGCAGACCTACAGTGGGGAAAATATTTATTTGATCCCCTGCTGATTTTGTAAGTTTGCCCACTTACAAAGAAATGAAGGGTCTGTAATTTTTATGGTAGGTTTATTTTAACGTATAGAGACAGAATACCAACCAAAATATTTGTATTTGATCCCCAAGCAAAACATGACTTAGTACTTGGTGCAGAAACCCTTGTTGGCAAGCACAGAGGTACGTTTTTTGTAGTTGGTCACCAGGTTTGCACACATCTCAGGAGGGATTTTGATCCACTCCTCTTTATAGATCCTCTCTAAATCCTTAATGTTTCTTGGCTGTCGTTTGGCAACTCGAAGTTTCAGCTCCCTCCACAGATTTTCTATAGGATTGAGGTCTGGAGACTGGCTAGGCCACTCCATGACCTTAATGTGCTTCTTCTTGAGTCACTCCTTTGTTGCCTTGGTGGTATGTTTCAGGTCATTGTCATGCTGGAAGACCCATCCATGCCCCATCTTCAGTGTTCTGGCTGAAGGAGGGAAGGAGGAGGTTCTCGTCCAAGATTTTACAGAACATGGCCCCGTCCATTTGCCCCTCAATGCGGTGAAGTCGTCATGTACCCTTAGCAGAAAAACAGCCCCAAAGCATAATGTTTCCACCTCCGTGCGCCAAAGAGCTCAATTTTGGTCTCATCTGACCACAGCACTTTCTCCCAAGCCTTCTCTGAATCATTTAGATGTTCTTTGGCAAACTTTAAATGGGCCTGTACATGTGCCTTCTTGAGCAGCGGGACCTTGCAGGCGCTGCAGGATTTCAGTCCATCGCGGCGTAGTGTGTTACCATGTTTTGCTTGGTGACTATGGTGGTCCCAACTGCCTTAAGATAATTAACAAGCTCCTCCCGTGTAGTTCGGGGCTGATCCCTCACCTTTCTCATGATCATCCTTACCCCATGAGGCAAGATCTTGCACGGAGCTCCAGACCGAGGCCGGCTAGGTCAGTCCATGACCTTAATGTGCTTCTTCTTGAGCCACTCCTTTGTTGCCTTTTTTGGAAGGGAATCAAATACTTATTTCACTCACTGAAATGCAAATCAATTTCTAACCTTTATATATTGTGTTTTTTCTGGATTTTTTGGGTTGATTTTCTGTCTCTATCCGTTAAAATAAACCTACCATAAAAATTACAGATTACAATTTAATTTCTTTGCAAGTGGGCAAACTTACAAAATCAGCAGGGGATCAAATAAATATTTTCCCCACTGTATACAGGTGGAGCTGGGGAAGGTGAGGGTTTCAGAGGAACTCTGAAAGCATGCTGCGAACTGCTCTAGTGAATGCTAACAAGCATTTTAATTGTAAAGCAGTAAGCTCAATGGCTGCATATGCAAAATAAACCAATCAGCCTGTGCCAACTGCCAAGTAGTTTAACACTGTGAATATCATCAGTTTGTATTAACGACCCATCAGTCTACGCCATCTAGAGTTTCATGACAGAACTTGGCACTACTTTTAATATCATCAGTAATATTATGGTTTTTATGGGACGTCACATTCTTATCAAACTGCAGCAGGTTATTGTGTCACTAAAATTACTAATCCTAACACCTCACTTACACATCGTTGAGCTCTGCCACACGACCCAAGAACTCATCATAGGTGAGGTAGCCACTGTCACGCACTAGCCCCACATGTTTGATCAGTTTCTCAGGGAGTCTGGTCACTGCCTGGCCAGAAAACTGCTGGCCCATCTTGGCTCCAGATGGAGGGCTGCTCCAAAACAACTCTAGACCTCATTCACTGCTGGAGGCTCTAGATAAGAGAGAATGTCGACATGACACATCATACAGTGTGACGTGCTACACTTCATAAAAACTACTTTAAACAGCATTTTCTTTCACATGGAATTTTATGACCTCATGTTAATTGATAGCATACAATGAATATTTGTATGTCAAATTCATTTGTCACACCAAATGTATATTTAAGTGCAGTTCAAAAAGCTCAAATGTGCTCAAAAGTGTCAAAAGAAATGGTGGCCTGTCACAGAAACTAAATATTTCTTCATAGGGTCATAGATGGTGGGGTCCAAAACTCTGAGACCACATTGAAAACTTAGGAATCAAAACTGTAAATAGAGTTTTGGGATTTTGGTTAAAAAATGGTATTATGTAGAGACTTTTTAATAGATGTAATTTTGTGACACCTGATCATGTGAACTTGCTTGCTTAAAATATAGGCTACTTTTCATGATAGGCTACTGAATCATTCTCAAATCAAAGGGATAACAATCACATTTCAATGAAACACTTTTTAACTTCTTAATTTAACCTAGGGCTTGACAATAATTCAATATCAATATGTATCGCGATATATTTTTTTTCAATAACGGTGATATGATTTTTAAACACACTTCCGATATTTCGATATACATTACCAGTGTTTCCCATACATTGATTTATTTGTGCCGTTTGACTTCGTTGAATAAACATGAGCACTGCACGTTTCAAAATCATAACACAGCGCGGGTGTTTTATATGAATGTATCTCTGAAGGGGAAAGAAATTATAGAAATTATACTTTTATTTAGCAAGGATGCTTAAAATTGATCAAAAGTGATGATAAAGGCATTTATAATGTTACAAAAGATTTCTATTTCAGATAAATAGTGTTCATATCGATATCGGAATTATATCGTATCGACCGAAATTAAGAAATATATCGTGATATCAATTTTGGCCATATCGTCCAGCCCTAATTTAACCTTTCGCTCAAATTTAGAGAGAATACAATTGTAATGGTAGAGAAATGGGAAATTAAACATGGTTCCCACTGCCCATATATTTTACCCTAAAATATTGATAAAATGAAATTTATGCTCATGTTATTAGTCAGCTAAGTTACCTACAGAGAAACAATGTGAACGTGATGTGCTAAAAAAAAAAAAAAAAAAGCATGGCCACAAATAAATCATATTAAACTGCTGATATTAAATGACTCACCTCTCTACTTATATATTATTAATATTAATTACTCATGCTACATCAGTCATTTTTCATAGATATCGATGAAGGTCTCATGTTGTTAGTGACATTAATCCCGAAACATTTATTCATAATAAATGTGCACCACCACAATACTTTCGAAATAAACAGGTGTTTATTCATCTTCTTACCTACCCTATCGTTTACCAAAAATAACAAACTGTCTTTTAAAAGACGTAACAACCAAGTAGACAAGTGAGCCATATACATTTGTTTCAGAATGTAAAAAGGTGTTTTAAATATAGACGATGTTGATATAAAACATTTACTGTTGCTACTAGTGTTAGCTTGGCTAGCCAAAACAATACATAAAGACCGTAATGGAAACACACCCAACACTTGGTATTAGCTACAAATGAACAAGAAACCAGCGAGATGAAAATAAGTGACTACAAACCTGTTGACATTTGTTTTATCCAGGCAAATATTCGAGATAACAAGTAGGATGATAACAAGAAAACCTTGACGCGGGTTGATGATGTCACGAGCACGCTCAATGGTCTATAAGACCAATTATAGGTTTGTAAACATTCAGGATGCGCGTGCATCATGGTTGCAGAAAACACGGGAGAGATAGCCTTTACGGATAGAGAATTTCACGGATAGGGTACAAAATAGTTAGGTTTAAAAAGATTATAAATTATATTGATTAGATGTCATTTTCAAAATGTTCTCCGCATATTACAAGAGCTTGTCACCCAGCGATAAACACTGTTATTCAACGAAATTGACGTTAGAGAGTGGGATAGTCTTACAGATCCGAAACAGGGATGACGGTTTTTGTGGGCGGAGCCTATCTGGAGGCAGAAAATGTCGGTTTTAAAGTGGCAGTCTATGGAGCCATGGAATAAAAAAAGGTAAATTTGATTTTATATGTCAAAATTCTGACTTTATTCTCGCAATTCCGAGATTATATCTCACAATTCTAATAAGGAAAAACAACTCGTCATTCTCTCTTTTCCCCTCAGATTTGACAAACTCACTATTTTTGAGTTAAGTCGAGTTATAAAGTCCGAATTAGGAGATATAAACTTGCATTTGCGAGAAAAAAAAGTCAGAATTGTGAGATAAAGTAAATAAATGTTATGTAAAAATGTTAATAGTAAGGTTTAAATAATATTTCATGCTGTAACTGTAGGGCTAATACAATACGTCCCCTATGAACAGCATATGTGAATATTATGTAGACCTATTGTTTAAATCGAATTTATGCTTTAAAAGTAGAGTAATCATAGCAGTTTTCATCCATAGTATGTCCATTTAAACGCTGCGTTTAGCTTCAAATGACGACAGTATTCTATAAAAATTATTTGCATTCCGATCTTGACATCAAAAGGCACAAAAATACTTTTTTCTTTTATTCCATGGATTTTACCCATTTATCTCCACTTGTTCCCAGTGTTTTTCTGCAACCACTATGCGCGCGCAGCTGCAAGGGACATAACTGTGACATCTACTCTGAATTGGTCTATTGAACCTTGATACTTGCAGACAACAAGTACAACTAAGGAATTGAAAGAGTACAAATTATTATCATTTAGCCTTATCATACAGCACTATTAAGAACAGTTAGTATTTATATCCGTTATTGATATTTGAAAGTAAAATAATATTTGAAAATTAAATGAGCAGCAAACTAAAAACAAAGTAGGCCTGACATTTGAACTTTTTTTTTTTTTTTTACAAAAATGCGGTGTTTTTTTAGGGTGAGTCCGGGTCTTGTTCCATTTGAAGGATGATGCTGCATTTGCTATTGTTGTTGTCTTTGCTGGTCTGTTCTGGCATACAATTCCTCTCACTTATTTGTTTCCACATCTCGGTTTCAATAATCTCTTTTGGCCTCATTCTGGTCCAGGATGGAAACCGTTGTCCTCTTTTACTAAAGCAAAGCACACTAGTCAGTGAAGAGTATGCATGTAACAACTGTTTTCTCATGACAGTGGATTAAACACTTACATTTTGAGATACCAAGCTGCACCTGCTGCTGCCAGCAAGAACAGTAGCACGATGGAAATGACGACAAATGTTTTGGGAGCTGCTAAAATATAAAGAAGACAAAAGAGTGTGATAAAATGAATTTGCAAAGTTATTCAATTATTAAGGAGGTGATCTAAGTTTCAAAACCCAACCTCTAATGGATGGTCTGTTAGGTGTAGTGGTCTGGGACAATGCAGGCTGACCTGTTGGAGTTGAACTATGCTGAAGAAGAAAATAAGTGGATGAATGAGAGGAAGACGAGGGGGATGAGGTTGAGAATTTGCGTGAAGTTCTGGGAGATGAAAGAGACAGAGGGCTTGTTGCTGCTTGGGAACTTTCACTGATGTTAGAAAAACTAAGTGTTATAACTGTTGTGGAGGAAGTGTTGAAAGTAAAGGAAATGGATGGGGTGGTTGTGTAGGGAGGAAGGGATCTTGATGTGTAGGCAGGAGTAGAGGTTGACTGAATGGATGATGGATGGGTTGTTTTAGTGGAATAATGGTTGTTTGATGGTGTTCTTCCTCCTGTTGTAGATTGAGGCCTGCTTGATGTTGTTTCAAATGATCCATTAGGACCTGAGGTGCATTGTGAGAGACATTTTACTGATAATCCTTTTTATTATCTTGATTTTATTTACTGATTTTAAGTTTACAATTACATGTTTGTGAAAAAAAGAAAAGAAAAAAAAAAATCCAAAGTCCACACATCAGCATATTGTAGATTTTTTTTTAAAATCACATTTTAAACATCATTATTCCCAATTTCAAGACACTGATTATTATGATGAAAGCATTTTCAGAAACATATTATACATATAATTACCTGCTGGCTTAAAACAGTAAACATCAAACATTTTGCTGATGTCAGCTCTCCAAAAAGAAACGCCTAACTTGTTTTTACCACATTTTTCGCTTTTCTCGATTCGAGGAATAACAGCGATTTGCTCCTCAACCCAACCAAACCTGTGTGAAAACAACATATCTTCTAAGAGTGCAATCTCTTAGAAGAAACAGAACCTGTAGAGTTCAAAAACTTCTAACTTCTAACCAACACACACACACACACACACACACATATAGTGTCGCTGTAGGTCTGTGTCCTGGACATTCGTAAAGAATGCCCATATTATATTTAATTTAAATGAGTCTGGTATTGTACTTTGAAATGATGTATATAAGGCATCCAGGTTTTTAAGTGTTATTTAAAAACAAAAATCATATTTCCTAAAAGAGCAGATCAATACCATATATCTACAATCATATTTTAAATTTGACTATAATGTCTGTTTAATTGTCACTCATTAAATAGTGATTTACCTGCATGTCTGAAAGCCATTTTTGTTTGCGGTTTCCACTTCAGCCCTTTTAGCAATTCTCATTTTAATAGCCTCACATGCTTCTTTGGCTGTGGTGGCATTAAAACTGCACACATTGTTCTTGGTTTGGACTAACAATACTCCAGTAATTCCATCATTTGTAGGGACTAAAAGCAACCAACAAAAGATGGTTTTAATAAAGTGCATAAGTATAGATTCACAAACTATTAAAAATTGCATTTAAATCAACAAAACAAGAAAGAGATAAACCTACCTTGGATTAGACTCACATCTACACAGAGTGTGCTTGTAAATAAGAAGAGCGGTAGACATAATTGTAACCAGACTCTAGCCATGACTGCAGAACATGCCACCAAAACTGTCCAGAAGTTTGAACACAATCATTCTGATGATGCTGCAGAAAGAGACCCATAAAAATAGGAAACAGGAGGTTGAGGATGATCTGTAAGATGACCTTCCCAATGAGGGCATTTACAGCTAGGGCAGAGGACAACTAAAAAACTTTCACTTCCTGTGGTTGTGCACCAGTTAATGTCAAATATCTTTGAACTCATTTGATATATCATGCACATATAGACATTCTGGACAAGTTGGAAAAATATCTGACTTCCATTCCATATTGGAGTCACATCTGACTCCGTTAAGTATATAAGTAAATAAGTCTCTCTCTCTCTAAAATGTATTAAATTGTTGTTATAATGACTAGCCATTTAATTCAAGTTCAATTCATTGTAAATGTTGACTTAAAACATTGTTGATGTCCTTGATGATTTGTTATCCAACTGAAAAAATATTTCCTCTCAATGTGTCCTTGGACAAGTGAAAATTTTATAAGCCTAATGTGTAGCATCTGTGACGTTAGCAGAAGACTGCTGAATTAGGCCCGTTTCCTTCTGCAGGTCATTCTTTCCAGTGTTGTCTGTGATTCTGAAGGCTAAATAAACAGAAAGGCTCATTACCACATCACTTTCAAAGCAACCAGCAAAGTTGCATGCTATTGCGAGAAGCTCTGGGACCGTGAATAGTAAATTACAGGCTGTGTTAGTGTATAGTGATGACTTGTCAGGCATGCTGGCAAACATAGAAAGCATCTCCTCTGAATTAACCCACAGGGGAGGTGTAGAAAATGACAGGAAGTTATTAAAAGCATCCTGTACCATTTTTGCAGATTCAAATGATTATCTAATCTCTAAATTCCTGACTTGGAACATAAATGCATCTTTCCCTGACTTTTCTGAGAGCACAGGAAATAAACCATGACAAAAGGTTTTGACTGGGATTTTCAATATTATTCTTTTGACATTTGAAGAATTTAGTGTACTCTGCTTGTTATATTACTAAACTAGTTGAAGTCACAAAAAGTAAAAAAAAAAAAGTGTTTTTGTTCAGTCAAATACAGTTATGCAGTTAATAGTTATAGCAAAATCACAAACAGAGCTATCTGGGCCAGTGGAACTTGTTCTTATTTGTGCCGCTTCACTCTGCTTGAATAATACATTTACAATAGAGGGGTTTGAGTTTCCTTCCTCTGCAAAGTAAAGGGAATCAGTCTTGTATATACTTGTAAAGGATCTGGTGTTATTGAGGTAGACTAGTACTATAGTAGGAATAGAATTCAGAAAAATTCTGAATAATAGTTTAAGTATGTTATTTACATGTTTTAGTGTGTTATTCACTTGTGAAATTGTGACAATGAGTGATCACAATATAAATAACAATATGGATATGAAATATTGATTTGACTTGAATCTAATATTTTTTATTATCTTAAACTTACTCTTAGAACAAAGTCCGTTAGGAACCGTTCACACAGGACGCATTTTGTGTTTAAAAACGTGAGATGCAGGCCAGTCCGTTTTTCAAAATAGGTAGGCGTAACAGTCAAACATGTCCCTCTAGCGCATGTTTACATAGAGAAACAATGGAAAACCAGCACAGAGAAATGCAAAATCACATTCTGTGTGAACGGCCCCTTAAGGGTTCAGTGCATGTTTACATAGAAAAACAAAATAAAAGCAGCACAGTTGAATGCAAAAGCGTGTTATTTTTGAACAGCCCCTTGCAACCTGCTAAGCAACAGATGAAAACTGCAACGTTATTGCAGCTAGTGCTATTCTCTCTATACACAAAGAATGCAAGTTGCTTAGGGCCGCTGAACCACCAGGGGGCCCCCTTGCTCTCAAAGATGATTTAATGATTAAGGTGGTGCGATTAATAGAATTTTCGTTTCGTTTTTGATTTTGGCTTCCAACGATTATGAAAATGCAATGCCGCATTCTGTTCTTTTAAAGTGCTGCACTGTTGCCCTTCCTACATAACATCTCCTTTCGGAAAGAGATGCTGTTCCCCAGAAGGCTTTCTGTGCCTGTGATCCAAGACGGAGTGAAACATACAGACTACCTTGGGCTTGTGGTTTGCACTTAATGGACAAATACACACAAAAATCAAAAGTCAGTCAGTTACCATGTCTAAAGTGAACATAAACAGTTGGGAAAGTAATCCAGTGCTTGTCAGTATATTAGATCTGTGCATTCGGTCTTAAAGTGACAGCACCCTAATAAATCTGCTGCTGTCTCTGTCATTAATCAAACAACAAAAGAAAATGAGAGAATCATTCACTGCTCTTCACTGAATAACTTTAGTAACTTTAACAAGAATCAACATGACAGGGGCCCCCTGACAAAGTTTTGCTTAGGGCCCCCAGAAGTCTAAGACCAGCACTGATTGCAGTAATAATAATACAGAAATCCTCTTGAGGTAATTTTTTACTACAATCCATACCTGAGATGTAAGATGGGTTCAACATTTTTGCCTGATGGGTGATAAAATGGGGAATTTCCAAGAGACTGATATAGACCGAGTCATATGTAATGATCAGAATATCACAGACACTTTTGAGGAACCACCCTTAACACTTCTTGCTAGCAGGTTTCTCTTGGTAAACACCAGTCACATTTTCTTCAGAAAATATAAAAATCTAGTAAGTCTTCAGTTCTGGCATCATTACCAATATGGTGTTAACCCTAACAAGCTCATTTCAGGATGTTGAGAGGCTATAGTGCAATTAGTCAAGGATGAGATGAGCGGTGTTTGATCCCTTTTGGTAGCATAGAGTTTCTGCTCCCTGTGAGATGGTATAACATTTCCTCATAAATTATTGAACTAGGCTGCATGTTGGTGAGTCTCCTTAGTTCCCATTCCATACACGTCTACAGGGACTTTGGGTCTGCAGGAGGAAAACACATTTCAGCTCAAAATATAAAGTTTGCATTTGGTTTTAGCGTCCTTTCAGAGCGATGAACTTAAGGGCCAGCTCTCATGGAGAGCTCCAGGCTCTGACTTCACTGAAGACCCCTGCTTTAGACAGCGGTATTTTTAAGTCTCTTTCTCACAGCAGCAACAACATGAGCGGCCGATTCGAAAGCATTGAGGAGATTAAAGGAGTTTCTAAACCCACGCATCCTCCTCGAAGACCTGTACGTGCAGTCCGACCCATGAGTGCTCTGAGTGCCAGCGGCTCCTTCCTGCAGATCAACCACCTGCAGGGAGAACTAGTGAGGAAGAGGAAGGTAGGTGCTGACATAATGGAGAACATTAGGGCAATGTCCTGTTTGCACATTCAGAACATAGGGTGTATTTTACTAGATCACACACATTAATAGTTAATAGAATTCTTTATTTGTATTTGAGGTCTTTCTCAAATATTCTGACTTGGGCCTCATGTGATTGACATGAACCTGTGAAAAATAATTTGTAAATAAGTCATTTTCAGTGCAAGGTAAATAATAATAATAATAAAAAATAAAACTAATACTTTTCCATATATATGTTGTCTTTTAGATTTTTTTTCTTTTCAGATTAAAGAGAGTTAACCAGAAAAAAAACCCTGAAACTAAAAGTGCAACCATAAAAAAAAAAAAAAAACGTTTACTTGAAATAAAGTAAATGTTAACTGCATTTTTTTCAGTTGTTCAGTTTATATATATGTAGCTATATATAAACGTGTGTTTGTGTATAAAAAAACTACTAAATATGACAAATACACAAAAATTACTAAAACTTTAAAATTAAAATTGAAAATGGGAAAATATACAAATACAAAATGATTCAAAATATTAGTATGAACTAAAAAATTATAATAGTAACTCAATTATACTAAAACAAAATATCTATCTATCTAGATGGATAGATAGAATTAAAAACAAACTATAAGTATAACTTATAGAAGCATTAAATATAAATATACAAGTATAAATAAGTATAAAGTATAAGTATAAATTATAGAATTTTCAACAAGCTGGGAAAGCTGAAACATTCTTCAAAATATATTTTGTGTCTTACTGGATGCATACAGTCCCTCATTGCCACCGTATCTGTGTTGTTCAGGAATGTGAAGACCTAAAGAAGGAGAACAAGTATCTGTCTAATGAAATTCACATGGAAAGGATCATGATGAGGACTGAGAGTGAGCTCACCATGAGAAACCTGCGCAATCTCAACCAGGAACTCCAGGCCCAAATTAAAGAGGTGTGCACACTACACATCTGGAATCATAGTCAATGTAGAAGAGCAGAACTACTGCTACTGCTAGTCGACATTGAAATACAAGTCCAGTAGTCGAAATTTAGTGATTTTAATGTTAGGCTATACTTTTTAGAAATAATACATTATTTCAAAAAGTGGATATCTGGAGTGGATAACAAATTAATTTAATTTCACCTCCCAGACCTTGCATACATGTGTTTTTTTCGTGTCATTCAGTGCCTCTCAGAAATTACCACTTGGAAAAAGAGCAAGATGTAGGAGCTTATTTACCGGTTTAAAGGGGGAAACAATGTATGAAAGGGCACTGAGTTTCTTCAGAAAGATTTCGTTGACATTTTTAATGTTATCTTGGTACAATGCCTAATAAAATTGTTCACAGTGGTAACCCTTGAAACCGCTGTGTTTCCGCTTGTCCAAAAGTGCCACCTAATGTCTGAGAGTGAATTTGCATTTTCATTCAGCACGTCTGCTGCTTTTGTTGCCGTCAGTGTTGTAAATTTTAACGATTTGATGGAAAATAAGAACAACTCGAATAACAATGTATCTGGAATAATTTAAGGATGGTTCATGAATAAAGCATTTAAAAGTGGATTGCATATTACACATCATGTTTTTGACTATCTTCTGAGGTTTTCTTTTAGATGAGTCGACCAGTCGGTTACAAAATGTCCATTTAAACGACTTTGAAATTAGTCGTAGCTGAGCACATACCTAATTAAAACCATGTTTGACTCTTCTTTCCTTGGTGATAATTAGTTGAAACAGAAGCTGCATCTCAGCCAGCAGAGGGCGACACTGTGCTCTAGGGCAGCTGAGGATGCTGATAGAGGACGAGCAGAGGCGGACAAGAGCAGGGCACTGGCGGAGGCTCGGGCAATAGACAGCAGGCAAGAAAAAGATCTCGCAGTAGCTGGCAAAACACGGCTCAGTGAAGAACTACATCTGCTGAAAAAAGAGGTACAGATACAACATCAAACACATAAATGCTAAATAATTCAATATATGGCTTCACTTAATTAATTTGCATACTGTCATCCATAGCACAATGATGTCCAGCTACTTTTAGCACAAGCTGAAAAGAATTACTTCGAGACCAAGCTAAAACTAGACAGGGTGTCAGGAGAAAAGCAGGCTCTCCATGAGGAGAACAGAATGCTGGAGGATGAGAGGAACACGTTACGACACAAACTGAAGGAGCTGACTGAGGAGAATGTGAAGATAATGGAAAAGTAAGCTCGAAAGCCTTCAGTAATGCCACCTATCTTTGGTATCATTGTGAATGGATCTATCATTGTGAATGGATCCTGGCGTGGCAGCATTCAGGCCATTATAATGCAATAAAAGCTAAATAGTTCATGATGCTGTCTGTCAATGTCATCCTCTCTCTCTATAGGGAGGTGAACTCCAGACGCAGAGCTCTGGTCGCTGAAGAGCAGAGAGAAAGGGCCAATAAAGCTCAGCAGGAAGCTGAGCAGGAAAGACATTTAGCTGAGAGGGAGAGGGAAGATCGCACCAGGGAGTGTCTCAGCTGGAGAGAGAAACACCAGGTTCTGGCAGAAGTCATCAGAGCCCAGGAGGAACTTAAGTCTCTGAGACAGACCAAAGCAGTATGTCCCCAATTCCTTATGTGTCCATCTTGAATAAACACAGAATTTTGCTCTATTAAAGTTATATTTATAGTAGGCATGGATGCATACAATTGATCAAAAGTGACAGTAAAGACATTTACAAAAATATTTCTACTTAAATTTTTTTTTTCTTTTTAACTTTATCAAAGAATTCTGGAAAAAAAAAATGGTATTACAGTTTCCACTCAAATTTTAAGCAGCACAACTGTTTTCAACACTGATAACAATTAAATGTTTCTTGAGCATCTAATCAGCATATTAGAATGCTTTCTGATGGATCATGACACTGAAAACTAGATGCTTAAAACTCAACTTTGCCACCACAGGAATAAATTATATTTTAAAATAGACTAAAATACAAAACATGTATTTTACATTGGAATAATATTTCACAATATTAAGTGTTTTTACTGTATTTTAAATTAATGTATTTTACGCTTGGTGAGCATAAGAGGTTTTTTTCTTTTTCTTCTTAGAAGACATCTTACCGATCCAAAATTCTGAGCAAAATTCTTACTGTTAATTTTGTCGTGTATGCATGGAAATAAAAACTTTTTTATTAAATATTCATGGGCACAACATTAAATAATAATAACAATGACAATGACAGAATAAAAACCCTAAAAAAAAATTGTCAAAATGGAACTATGACCTTGTGAAATGGTTGTTTACATTTTTTTTCTCTTTGAATTGATGGCACAATAACACATGCTTGCATCTCACTTCAGTGTCAAGCTAATATTAAGAGCTACTTCCTGTGTATGACTGAAAGCGACCAGAGGGTTAAGATCCTGAAAAATCAAGATGGCACACCAAGGAACTTCACGGTAATGTTTCTTGCCTGTAATTACGTTCCAATATATTAACAAAACAAACAAGTGTAAACACATTCATTTTGTTACTATATAACAGCATTAAATAACATGCACACAACAGGAAGGAGACCCTGTGTATATCTCCACGCCTGACCTCAACACTGAGGAATCAGAGAGGAGTTCAGGGAGGTACGTATTATTTATCAAAGGCTAATCTTTGATTAGTAAATGTATTGACTTAATTAGTCTTATCTGCTCAGCAGGACGATGTTTAGGGTGGCTGCACCTCGAGTTGGACGGGACATCGGCCCAGCTCACTTCAGCGAGCTGTCACCAATGGCAGACACCCATGAATCGGGATTTTCAAGGAGAAACAGGAAAGTGGAATATTTCTGGATCCCCACTGATGAGGAATAAATGTAAAATGTCTAGTTTTAGATATATTGCCTAAACAACAAAACATTGGTTGTAAACATGTTGCTAAATCTCCTACTAGATTAAATTTGCCTAAATTTAATTTTGTAAATGTTTTAACCTACAAAATATACTTTAATGTTGTGCTAACCACCAAAACAAATGGTACTGTATCCCTGTGGAAATAAACAAAATAGATTCTGGTAAAATAGTTCTATCTTCACTAGAAGAGATTTAGCACAATGAAAGGTAAAATTCTCAAAAGCATTTCTTACAAAAGATGTCAACAAACACTTTAGCTGATCAAGTTTTTCCTTTATTGTGAATTCCGCAATAGTGGTGATGAATACAGCACTAAACAGCCTTACAATGACATGATCTCAAGCCATTTCCTTTCTGACAACTGGATTGCAGTTAACATGTTGGCAAACGCAAGCGTACAAGATTAACTTAGTCAAATACAGTTAAAACACCGGTCAATAAAAGGTTGTCTGAGAACCCCTTATTGACAAGGGCAAAAGCCTTTCACCTCATTTGTTTTTTTTTCTGGATTTTTCCCATTTTCTTTTACATTTAAGGACCCATTAAAAGGCAGGTTAAAATAATCCATCACTTCGATGTTTAAGATTGGAATAATTTGCAGCAGATCAGTGGGACCTGAAGGGCAACATTACTACTGCCATTAAACAGAGAATACATTTCAGTTACCTAGTCAGAACACACTGCAGACAACATTAATGAAGTAAGGCTGGGGCAGCAGAGGCATTAAGTTGACACTAGTAGCTTGATTTCTGCATCTTCAATGGAAAGCTGAGATACGCATTAGGTAGTGTGTTGTGCAAAATCAAACTGTACGCAGATGTTCTGGATCTTAATTCATGACTAAAACTTTAGACATCAGAAGCCTGCACTAAATAACGCTTATTCAGTAGGAGGTAGAAATGGAAACTTACAGTTTTACGGATGTTTAAATCATGCACGAGGGGTGAAGGATATTGCAACCGACCCAGAATAACACTAATAAAAGCGTCTACAGCGTAACCTACAAAGGCCATTCAACCAGGATCTCACGATTCATTTTAATCAATCCCCAAGACAGACCGTAAACAAATCATTGGTTCTATATAACAGTTTCACTTCCGCTGAGACGCTGAAAGGTTTTCTGCCCTGTGTCTTGTGAAACAAAAACAAACATGTAAGAAATATTTGGCTACCACTTTTTCTACTGAAAAAGCATAGTGGTTCTGAAACTAAAGCAGATAACAAGTCTGACATTGGTTATGATGCGAGAAAACACATTAGAAACGTTATTATAATGGTATTACTACGTCTTTCATTTAATTCATGAGCCTAGCAGCAGTGTACTGTAATTGGCTGAGTGTGAGCTACTGCAAATAGTGCAGGAAACAAAGGGAAGACAGCAAGTCATGTAGCAGGAAATTAATGTGTACTAGAAGACTAGTCTGGTTCCTCAGTCAGCTTCCTCCTCAGACTCCTCTTCCTCAGCCGTCTCAAGCCAAGTCAGCCACTGGTTCACCTGAAAAGAAAGATTAAACACCTGTAAATGTACATACTTGTACTCAAAAGGGTAAAAACCTTTCCATTTAAGAACACCGAGTACTACAGTGGTTAAACTTACCTGGAATAAAGCTTTTCCTTTTCCAGGAAATTCTTGGGAAATGTCTTCTTTCCATGCTAGGAAACCTTCCTCCTCAATGATCTCCATGTCATAAAAGTTGACAAAGTAGCGAAGCAACATGCCTAAATTACAAAAAAATAAAACCCAGAGCCTCAATACTCAAGTAAAAAAAATGTCATGGTTTAACTGATTCAGAAAATCGCAACAGGCACAGCAGGTTACAAAAAGTAGTTTCTGTACCTTTTGGGAAAGCGTTGGCATTGCAGTGCACCTGCAGGGAGTACAGGGCGCTGACCTGCAGATCAGTGTGATCATGGAGGAACTTCTGCATGACTGGCTTGAAGAAGAGTAGCAGTTGCTTCTCCTCGTCCAGCTGCTCTTTAGAAGGGGAGGCCAGCTGCTCATCACCTTCGTTCACGCCAAGCTCAGCAAAGATATACTGCAAGAAGCTGTTAAATGGAAAAACAATAATGACGCCAATTATATCAATCTCAGTCTCGCATATCTCCATTTATGAATGCAGTGCACATTCAATGGGCTTTACCTGGTCATAAGTATGTTGATGAAGCCCTTGTCGGTGTGGAGTTTGGGAGAAATGTTGTCTTTGATCCACTTGTAGATGGCCTGAGGGGAGGGGTCTGCCTTGATCTGCTTCAACAGTTCCTTCTCCAGTTTCAGCAAGGGGAAAAGGAAATTTAAACCTTTCCCCTCAAGAACCTCCAGCATGCGGTCCTTATTCTGGTCAATTTCTGAGAAACAAAAATCTCTTAAATATATCTAGTTATATCTATATAACTAGATAAATATCTAGTTAAATACAGCACATGATCAAAATCATTCCTATTTAATAGCAAAACATCAATATAGAAAAACAAGAGTTGTGTGTAGGAAGACATACCAGGAAGCATCTTCTGCATGTTGACCTTGCTCTGCTGGAAGAGATCTGTGAGCCACTCACGATCCTTGAGCTTGGAAGCTTGCTGCAGGCATAGCAAGAAAAGAGGAAAGTGGTTGCCGTTCTCCAGTGGATGAGCCAGTTCTGCCACACTGACCAACTCAGCAATGACGGCCCGTGCTGCAAACTGCGCTAGGTATGACTTCACCAGAGGAATGTCCACCTCAATCTTAGGGCACTGATCTAAGACATTCAGCAGAGCCTGATGACAAAAATCATAATTATGGAAATTAGATAATGAAAAACTAAATACAAATATTTGGACTGCTTAAGGGGAAAAAAAAGCAAGGTAACTTACCTGCATGAAGTTTTCCCCAGTGATGAAGCCCTCAGTACGCAATGTATGGATAAGAGTGCTAGCCTGTTCCCGGTCTTCGTCAGTCCTCTCCAGAGAACACAAGATGATCTTACTCAGCATCTCTGGCAGAAAGTGTGTGGGAGCTTTCATCTCTTTCACACCACTGACAGCTTCCTCCATGTTCTTACTGTTCAGATATTCAGTCACAATGTTCTCCTGTTGTAAACAAATTCAGTAAACCATTAGAAACTTTGAGCTTTGAACACAAAAGGGTAGTGCAACAAACAAAGACACGCACAGTCATTTTCAGCAGTTCCTCCTTAGCAGGTGCTGGTTTCTTAGTAGTCTTCTGAGGTTTCTCCTGGATCAGAGGTGGGTTGGTTTTCAGACCAAGTTGTGGAGGCTAAAAAGAGCACATGGACTTTGATTTTTTTCAATGCAAAGTCATTCCATGGAATCTAAATTAATTGACATGCGATATTAACCCCAACTAATGAGTTCAACAAAGCTGAGATAATTTTCTACCTGTCCAAGTGGTGGAGTCTGTGTCCGTGGAGGCTGAGCACTGGGAGGAATCATGGTGGGAATCTGGGGCTGCAGTTTTGGCACTTGGTTTTTATTCATCAGGAATGACTGAGCAGGTCTAAGGCTGATCTGTAAGCATGGATCATGGGAAAAACATACAAAACATTATTACGCTAGTTACAAAGATTAAAATGCTTGATACTATTTTGACAATTCAGACCCTCATATCTCATAATCGCAGTCAGCGGACTGGCTGGCAGTTTAAGAGTGAGGGACAGAAGAAAAGCATAAGGAGGAGAGAAAGAACAGGAAGAAACAAAGAACAGACAAAGTATGAAAACTGCCATCCAGTGGAGTCCCTCAGAATAACGCGTCTTTTTATAATCACAGGGTGGAAGATGTTTTGGTTTTACTCAGCACTTAGTGTCTCTGGTTTACCTCGTCTGCATTGAGCTGCCCCTTCTTGAAGCGTGGAGGCATGTCCTTAGATTGAGCTTGCTGCTGGTTTGAATGGTTCTGGTTTTGGTTGTGAAAATGCTGATTCTGTCCCTAGGGATATATAGATGTTTGGTAATCTCATAATAATGGTTTTTGAAAAAAAAAATATTGCTGTAAGAGCTGCAAAAACTTTTATGCTTACCTGGTTAGACTTGATGAAAGGCTTCATACCCAAGTCAAACTGTGACTGTGGTTGGGAAGCCATGTGTCCACTGTGGCCATTGAAAAGAGGATTTGTACGATGACGTCCTAGGGTGGGGGAAAATCTGTCCTGGATCACACCTGGACCAGTCCCTATGCCACTACCTGCAAAAAAAGATACGGTTAAGATGAACATGGCACATTTCTCAACAAACATAAATACAATTGACAGGTGATAAACTCACCTGGCATCTGACCAAACATATCGGCCAATCCCCCGAGAGTTTCTCTATCCAGTTTAATCCTGTTCGGCATGAAGGGGCCTTCTAGGAAGAAGTCCATTCTCGTTCCCTGGTTCATGGGTGGAATGAAAACACCCAAATCCTTCAGAGAGGGAAAGATAAAGACTTGCAATAAACACTTTACATTTTTTTTTGTAACATTACAGTTTTTGTAAAAGTAACAAAATAGAAAAACCCGTTGACTCACCTTCACTGCATCTTGACGAATCTGGTTAATCGTCTTTGGTCCGTTGTCAATGAAAGCTTTGCGAGGAACCCAATTGTTCTCTCTCAGCTCCACGGTGTCCTGCAGTAGGAAACGAATCCTTGCAGGCAAATCCTTGTTGTTCATTAAGGATCGCATACGGCCAAAGTACTGATCCATTAAAGACTGTGGGAAAAGCAACAATGGATGAGAGATCATGCCCACAAATTACACTCACATAACTTAATGGCTGCATCATCCTCAAAACTGCTTTGCAAGAAAAAAATGTTTATCTCAGTCTAAGATTTGTTCCATTCACAAAAACAAGACTTAAAAGGCACTATGGGTACTTTCCAAAAAGCCACCATGACATTATTCCAGTCAGTCATGTCTGGTTCTTACAAATACAAAGCCAATTTCTAGCAAATGGACCAATTTTAGACACAAGGAGAAATAAAGTACACCATTCAAGGATACGGTTGGGTATCTAGAACCGGTTCCAAATTTTCAATAATCGGGTATTCGATAAGACATGTGCATTTCGATTCCGCTTAACGATTCCCGCGTTCGCATTTTAATGTGATTTTAAACTATTTAAGTGCAGGAAGGGAAAGAACTTGCACACTGTTTGCGTGCAGCGCACACAACTGAAGCGCAAGCACAGAGAACAGTGGTCCCGATGCAGGTTCCCGACCCATGTCCATTCTCGAACTGTTCCGTGCATTTCCACAAAGGTTGCTCCGGGCCAGAATTGACTTTTCACATTTATCGACCAGTATGCACGAAATACGTCAGTATATCATCATAAACACGGCCGTTTTTTTGTCTTAAGTGAACGTAAACAGATGAGAAAGAAAACACATGTGTAACAGTATTTTTTAGATCTGTGTGTGTTCGGTGTTAAAGAGACAGCCGTCTAATAAACGTGCTGCCTATCATTAATGTTAATCAAAGAACAAAAGAAAATCATTAACTGACTGAATATATTTTGTAAATTTAATGAGGATTAATCAATATTTTATTTATGAAAATAAAACTATACAGTGTTTTTAAACTTTTGATTTCAATTTCTGTACCTGACATTTGTTCAGTTTTATTTATTTATGCTATTGCTAATTCATTTGTTAAATGTTTGAAATTTATATTAGTCTAGTTGTTTTTTTTCTGTGGTATTTTTTTGATACAACCATAGACATAAAACAGAATAAATGTTTGACATCTAAATATTTGACTTAAAATTTGTTTAATGGATTTTTTTATCTTATTGGAATCGGAATTAGGAATCGATAAGCAGCATCGGAACCGGAATCGATAAAATTCAAACGATACCCAACCCTATTCAAGGATCAATTTCAGAAAGAACACAAGCTGCAGACAATTGCTTCATGGTTGAAACTCATCCCTTACAATCCAACAAAACCACAAATCAACTCTCAACACTTATAAATGTGCACAACAATCATATTCCTTGGTGAAAAACATAAATTTGTACTTTAAACTTATGGTTACTGGTAACAAGATCATTAAATATAAGAAAATGTAAAAGGCAAATTGGTGTTTAAATATTTATCTATCAATGGTACCTTGGCTTTTTCATGGTCGAGTCTGGGCCCCACAGTCCTCATTATCTGACAGAGACACTCCAGATCCTCTCCCATGTCCTTGAGCTGGACCCTCTTCTTTTTCTCCAAAAGCTACAGATAGTGTAGAGAGTGCGAGTCATCAAAATCACTGAGCCACCACTAACCAAAGCACATAATGGAGTGGAACTAATAGACTGAAATGTTGAGTGGGATACACACTGTTTTGATGCACTTATGAAGGATAGATTCATGGATGAGGTCAAGTTTGCCGAGTTCTCCAATGAATTTGATATTGCCAAGCATCTTGATCTTGGC